GGGAGGGGAGGGGAGGGGGGGAGCAACCTGTACGCTGCCTCTGCTGTAGCAGTGGTTAATGTGAAGGTCCTTACGCTGGCGGTTCATGTGGCATGAACCCAGGGTGAAAAATCGAGAATTATTTGGTATCGTCGCTGTTGACTGCTAGAGGGAGCGCTGATGTTTCCCTGTGCCTTATCAATGCTTCGGAGGGATCCGCTTGTGTGCTTGGCAGGGCCTGGGCTGCAGCACGCCAGCGGAGCTGCCATCCTCACCGACGCAGCCGTGCACGCAGGTCTCATCCCCGCCAAAATGAAATGATGCTGCTCTGGAAACCACGTCCTGCGTGGCTGCGCCTCCCCGAACCATCCCTGCTTCCCAAAGCTGCGGGCAGCAGCGCCGCTTGGTTCTGACCTGAGCCACGTCTGTCTAAAAGTTCACAAATGGGGTTTAGGATGTGGGCAGCAGCCCCCATGGCAGCGGGGTGGGAGCCTGGGGGGCCCTGCGGAAATGTGGGTGGGTGCGGGAAGCGCAGCGGGGAGCCAAGGCTGGTGAGGAAGAGGAAAGACAGAGAAAATCACAACCCTTGAGGAAGGAGGGAGAAACGGTCCTGCCTGTGTCTGTACGATTTGCTAAACCCACCGATATTTGCCTGAATTCAGGCTTTTGGGTGAACAAACCGAGAATTTAGATCATTTCCTTGAACTTCAGGATGCTCCTTCTGCATCAGCGCTGGCATTGCTGAGACCTTAGCCAAAATGCAGTAAAAACGGTAAGAAAGGGCTTCCCTTCCCAGAGAGCTGCAAAGATGACTCTGGGAGAGGCTCGACATGAGATAAAGCAGCAGCACGTCACTGTCCCACGCAGTGACAGTCCCCAGGGAGTGCTGGGATGTGGCTCTGCAGAAGCAGAGAGGTTTGGCATGTGGTGTCCCCAGGCAGCTTTTAGGAACAGAAACCAGGTAAATCCGTCATGTCAGTCTGCTGAAAAATAACACTAAGATCAGCCTGGGTCCCCCCCAAAGCCTCAGACCTGATCTGGATCGTGCATACAAGCCAGCTCTCCAAGACTGAAAAGAAACGAGTCCTTGTCAAGTGGCACCTAGACCTTGTAATCCGTAAAAGGATTTTGTAAAACAAAGAAAATCTAGTATTCAGATAAACCATACAGTGGCTTTTTCAAGGGAAAGTTATTTCTGACTGAGAGTTTCCAGCAGTGTCTGCAACCCAACCGTTAGCGCTGGGCCAGTGCACTTGGAATATCAGTGGAAAGGTCTGTTTTCCTTAATGAATTCCCAAAGGGCAGACAAATAACTCGCAAGGAGAATAAATGGGATTTTTGAAATTCTTTCTTCATCACCTATGCAGCCATCCCTGAATGAGATAAAGTTTTTTAAGTATATATAGAAACTGAATTCTAATCAAGATAAATGCCCGGTTTCATGCCTAATTTGCATGAGTATTTGCTGCAAACTGTGCTTGCAAATGAGAGAATTATGTATGTAACCAGATAACCTGAATGTGCAATTGGCAGTACCATGTATGCAAAACTTAGTCACTGCTCTTGAATAAAACGTAAGCTTCAGCAGAAAGGAACTCAGCTTTAAAGTGCAGGCACATTATTTTTATCATAAAAAATCAGGTTAAAACTGATTTGAGCCTTCCAAGAACACATTCGGCTGCTGAAGCAAAGTCCAAATTATGCTTCTTACTCAATCTAACCTTAATAATAGACTAGTTGAGTTGCTGTACTGGCAGCGCTGGAATCTTTTTAATTTACCGATGCAAGAGAATTTCTACATTAGTGCGTGTGCTATTTGAAAAAATATGTTTCTTAAAGATGGCTGTGGACTCATCTGTAAATTAATAACCTTGCTTTAAAAAATCTTCCTTATTACTTTAAGTCCTTTTGAGATTCCCCTGAAGATATCTTGAAAGATTTTCTTCCCTTCCCCATATCTCCTCCCATCCTTACTAAGGAACAGCTGGGTCCATTTAAAATTGATTTCAATCTCTCAAAGCAGGATTTGATTTCTCCAAGCTTCCGCCTGGAAAGTGCACAGTGTCGCAGCCACCCCGAGATATCAGCTGGCAGAGCTCGAGCCTGGCAGAGAACAAGTGGGGCAGGCACGAGCACGGGGCAGCAGAGGGATTTCCAGCGTGAGGGTGCTGGGGTTTGCTGGCCGCCTGCAGTTCAAGCGGTGAGACGTTCCCCGTGGCACTGGCTCTCCATCCCACACCCCGACACGTTCCCAACCCCAAATCCGCCTGCGCTCTCAGCCTGCTTTGGAGATACGGGTCACCCCCAAAACCATGGAAAGGTCCTGGTCATTGCTCCGCCAACAAAACTGCTTTCAGGAAAGAAGGACTAAAAATATCGCCAGGGTGTGCATTCAGAGTGCGATGCTTGAGGATCGGTTTTGGATTGTGCTGACTCCCATTCCCATTTTTTGCTGAAATCCTCAAAATTGGGATGAAATGAAGCATTAGGAAACGAACTGGGCCTCGTTCCCTTCCTTCTGTTAGTTTTGAATTAACAAAAAATTAAATTAAGAGCTAATTAAATCGACAAAATTAGAAACGTATTATTTCCCAAAATTACTTTGCTTTTTCTTTTTTTTAATTCCAGCTTTCACCAGGCGCTTGACAGCTATGCAGCAAATCTGTGTCCCTAAGGGATGGGAGTCCCTGGCCACGCAGACGAGGCACAGAGAGGTCGGGAATGTCTCCTAAGGACACACGGGAAACCTGAGTCAACACCAACAAGTCCCAAATCTCCATTCAGCCTTAGCTACACTCAGCATCTTTTCAGGTGGTGCAAGAGCAGCCTTGAAAACCTGAAAAAAAACCTCAATTTTGAGCAACATATTGTAGTAGTAGCATCACATCCAGGCAGGCTATTTCTCAAGAATATGTGGATGGCACAAACATGGATGAAGATTTGAGAATACTGCTCATCATCTTTGCTCTTGTTTCAACCTAAGGAGTGCAGTAAAGGGAATATGAGATGGTTTGGGAGATCAAAAAGGGCTGAGTAGCACGCAGACACTGTTCAGGCCTTCCAAACACTTTAATTTGCTATTCAGATTACCACTTTTTATAGTTTAATATGTACAATATGCAAAGGAACCAGTTTAACTAAATGGGAAAGGCCTTTTGTGTTAAGGATGAATGTAATCTAATACGGCCCTTTGACTTGATTCAATTAAATCCTTTCTTTTCCAATTAAATAATCAGCCAGAATTTAATAAAAATGAATTTCAATGTGTCAGCCTGCAGAATGATGACCTCTGAGATGGTGAAGGCTTATGTAAATTCTGCTGATCGCTTTTTATCTGCTTGTGTCTCACTTCCACCAAAAAAAAATAATTGCCTTCTGTTGGTATATTTACATTATTTTCTCATCTGCACTATGTATCTCTGCTTACAGTAACAATTCTCAGCTGAAAACCAGGCCGTGAGTGTCACCAGCTCCTTTTCAGCACGTCCTCTAAAACCCACCTTCTGTGACTGGAAAGAGAGATCACCAAAGATGGGATTTTTGATCTGTGCCTCTATTTTGTTACACCCTGGCATGCTGCGGTGTGAAGAGTGGCAATTTGGCCCTTTCCAAATGTCACCAGAGACATCTGGGTGGCCATTCATCCCCAAAGAAAAGCTCACCAACAAAATCCAGTCCGAGACACCAGCAAACTTTAGGAGCAACCACCAGAAAAAGCACAGCATGCCCCGGGTTCAGGAGTCTCTTGTAGCACATCCCTGCGAAGTAATTTCCATCCAAGTTACAATAGTTGTTAATCTCTACCGTGGTTTTTTTTCCGCTACAAAGGTCACATTTTTATTTGTGTATTTATAACTGCATTTGACCCCCCCCTTCTCCCCCTTAAAATACTGAGCACCGACTCTTTTCTTCCTCAGCTGGAGTATACGGCAGCATCTCAACACAAACCTTGCTGAGGTGTTACTGCTGCAGTGCAGCTGGTACACTAGTGCTTTAGTTAAAAAGTTATTAAAATGAGATTAAACAGAGCTAAGGATGGGTGGGTTAAAAATGTGGGTGAATATCCTGGTTTTCCACGTGATGCTGCAGTGACACGTTTCCCCATCTCTGTTTCTGTGCAGGTGAAAGGGTCCCAGTGACCTTCCTGTGCTGCACGTCCCTTGGGACCACGAAAACAAACCCATTCATGTTTATAAAGTGTCTGGGACCGGGGGAATTACATCACCGCGGCAAGATACAAGTTTAATGGATCAAAACAAACCCCAGATCCAACCCCCCCAACTTAGACAAGGCTCAGTTACCCGGCGCAAACCTTGAGGAATCCCACTGAGAAGGGATAATTGAGAGAAAAATGCGATCCCAGAGATTTTTCTCCAGTGAACCTGTTTTACGTTAATAGGAAGCAGATTTCTAGACCCCTTGCAAACAAATGACTTCCACAGCATATTTCACAGCTGAGCGCATCTATGGCACCAGTCTTTATATGCAGCTCTATTAAACCCAACATTTGTTTAATGAATTACAGCAATCTAATGAATCTGGGTACGTTCTGCCTATATTTAAGTGTTTATGGGGACGACGTCAGCAGCCAGCTTCTCACAAGCAGGTATTGGTGTCAGTGATGAGCTCCCGCTGCAACATACCCAAAACTTTTAATATTCTGGGGGTTCTGCTTTCTTGACTATTGTGGGCAGTTGATTACTGCTCAGTTTTATGAATGTTAAATGCAGGAGTTCCAAGGTCTCTGCTTTAACTGAAAACTGTTTGGATTCAGTGCAGATTTGGGGGAGGTTGTCCCCACTGATGTCTGTCATCTGAGAGATATAAACTGTGGCACATCTCCCACCTGGCCCGGGTTGGTCCATGCAACTGAAAGGTGAATGAAGCCATTAAAACTCACAGTCAATCGTGGTTGACATGCTACAGCTATTTCCAGGATGACCTCATCTTCATCTCACGGGTCAGTATATAAACCTTGCCAAAAATCTAACTGTGGTCCACCCTCCTGTTCTAACTATCCCCCGCTGCAAACTATGCATCAAGTGCTCCCTTTCATGGCATCTAGAAGCACGAGTGATGATGGTTTCGTGGTAATTCACCTCTGATTTTGTGGTGGTCTCCAGCCCAGATCTCCCCACTGAGGAGCAGCTTTGCTGGGTCGTGCCTACACAGGTGTTGTAGCTCTGGAGCCCCAAAGGTGCATCCGCGTGAGCAGAGCTGCCTGGTTATACTTTGCTGCAAAAACTCTTTTCATTTGGACTGAATTATCCCTAAGGAGCTGTTTTTAGCACCGACCAAGTGCAAGGTCCCACTTGGTCTGAGCCGGTCCACAGCCGTTGCCCTCAGCCAGCCGCTGCCCAGAAGGAGGATGCAGAAGGATGCTCCGAGCTCCAGCGCTGGTCCCTCCGGGTGTTTTCAGAGCTGAGCTGCCTGGCAGGGGCTGTGCTCGCTGCGTGGGTGCTCGGCCGTGGCTCAGCAAAGCCCAGGACCTCTGGCAGTGGTGGGTGGGCGAGTGAAATGCCAGCAAGACGTGGAGACCCAGGAATGCAGCTGGGGACTACAAACAGCTCAGCAGCACCCAGTGGCAATGCACTCGCAGGAGCGAGGAGAGCGAGTGTGGACCCAGACATGGACACACAGCTCCTACGCACCTGGCAGCAGCGGTGAAGTCTGTGTGCCAGTTTTCTAAAACTGCTTGGGTTTCACAAATAGCTTTCCATAAAGGAAGAGAGAAACAGGGAGCAATGAGAAAGAACTTCAGGCAAAGTCTGTACAAAATGCCGTTTCCCCGTCCCTTTCTTGTTACAAATTAGAGGGGAAAAATGGGGTTAGGTTTTGCAAAACTGCAGGGCTGATTTGGGAGATCAGGTCCTACCGACTTACTACAAGATATCATCTGTCCTCTTGGGAAGGGAAGAATGGGAAGTCCGCAGAGACATTTGCTTTGCAGACACAATTTACCAGCTGTTCAGACACTATTATAAGGATCATATAAAAACTTAAATGAATAGGGAGATTCTGAAGCACTTGGATAGCAGGATAATAGGTGCCATGAAGAAAATCCTGTGATCAATCAGCAGCCAAATACATACTTAAATTAGGTGTTAGTGGGAGAGATACAGGAAAGGTGATTATGGGTTGCCTCTGCGTTTCCTTCGGCAACAATGATGACACACCAGGGTGGGTCAATGTACCCTATCATTAATACAGCATCAGCATTCCTCTGACAGTTTCTTTGTCCTGTGAAGTCAATTCCTATGAAGATTTGACATTAGCGAGAGGCACGGTGAAATTCAGACGCCTTTGAATTTTCATGACCCTCTAGATGCTTTAACCTGGCAGATTACAGGCAAGACTCGTGTCCTAAATTGTGCAGGAGGCAGGAATAAACATTTGTACCCATTTATTTCCACTGTGGCGATAAATACCATCAGCAAAACCAGTGGAAGAACAGCCCTTTCCTCCCTCACCAGAAAACTAGAAACGGGGTCTGCAGGGAAGAGTTAATGGGAAGAGTCAGCTAGAGCATCCTGGAAAAGGAAGATATTAGAGACAAATGGAATTTTGGACTATAATATTAGTGAAGTAAGTAAAGGATAAAATCTCAAGTGTGGCTCAGGCCTCTAAAATAATCCTGAGATTAATGCAGGAGTGGAGAGCTCCATAAAGTAAAAGGAGAGGGGATTTAGCATGCCACCTGCCCCCCAGGGTGCACACTGGCAGCCACAAAATTCCTGCAGGTGTTTCAGGGACCATACAGGGCAATCCAGACAAGAGTGAAATTTAATTTATTCTTACAAGGCTACCCCAGGCAAAGCATCCTTCCCTTCCGTTTCAAGCGACAGAAAGCATGCTCTGGTGTGTCATCGTCCTCCCTTGTTTTGTCAGCAGCACAGATGCAGGGGCATGCCTGGCTTGGGGATCACCTCACTGGCAAACCAGCTGCTTTTGCAACAAAAGAATGTGGCTGGGAAATAAAACTAGCCATTTTTTTTTCCTTCTTTTTCCTTTTTTCTTATTTTTTTTTCAAGACGCTACCAGCAGGGTAGATTAATCCTGTATTGCATAAGATTACAAACTTACAATTACATTCCCCACTAAACGATGAAAGCTCTAAAAATATACATAAAGTTTCAGCATTGAGAAGGCAGCTGAAAAAACGGAACAGTCATAAATATACACATCCTATGATTTATAGTCATGTTTTAAGGCTTCAGTATGTATTAATTGATTCTGTACATTTGGGGTTTGGAGTGTATTGGGCCGTCTCCTTAACTGTCCATAACGCAGACATCTACTCTGTGAAAAACAGCACTTCTTCAGGACTGAGAGAAATCCCTTTATATCAGATAATTTGCAAGGACTTAATTTCTTCGGTTAGGTAGGAAAATACTGCAGACCTCCTTTCACAGCATGGGGAAACCGAGGCATAGATGGGCTGAAAATGGGTGTGAAGAGGTGCTATGGCAAAGTGGAAAAGGGCACCTGCTGCAATCCATAAAACACAGCAAGCCCTTCCAGTTATACAAGGAAAAATTCCTTCACCTCTTGCCTAAAAAATAGTAGTATTGGTACTCTCATGCAGTGCCACACTTGGGAGGAGCGTGAGTCCTCCTGTGCTGGGCAATTTTTGTAGTGCCCCTACACTAATGAGGCAGAGGTGGAGAGACTAGGGTTAAAAACCAGAAAATGCAGAGCTGTAAGCATGGGGGCATGGCTGCTTGTGCTATCTTGACTCAAAATGGCTCAGCATATTTTCTACTTTAGTGCAGTATACAAAACCAAAAAATGGTAACAAACCCCCCTCACTTTTTAGGTATTGTACTAGCACACGTGTTTTGTCTAAACAAGAGGTTTTAATGAAATTTGCTGGAGGTTGATTCACCCCAGTGTAACACCCAGCCATGGAAGAGCAGGGGACATGTTTCTTCTAATAAAGTCCATTTAGCTTTTGACATAGATTACTTAAAAAAAAACCAACAAACAAAACAAAACAAACCACCAACCAAAAAAATCCCACACCAAACATACAAGTGTGATAAAGTGTCTCAGTATAAAATCAATACTGAGGCGATTAGCAGCCTTTGAAACTTTCTGACTCTAAGTCGGTTCATGGCAGAGATCAAATGGAGGTGCTGTCAGCTCCTTGGGCATTTTACTTTGCTACTGATATATGGCAGTTAATCTAAAATTATTCCCGTTATTTCTGATTTTTCTTATTTTTCCCTGGGGGACCACCATGCAGCCAGGCACCCATCCCATCCACCTCCCAGCCTGCGGCATCTCCCCATCCGTAGAACAGCCTGTGCCTGGGGAGAGTGCCCAGGCTGCCAGGGTTTTCTTACAGGTTCCTACACTTTAGGGGAGAACTGGAGAAAAGGCCGAGCAGCCATGAGCTGCCGCAGCAGGGCCCGGGTCCCTCTGTCTGATTCCCAGCTGCCACTGGGAGCAATCCCCAGTCCCAGATGGACAACACTGGTCATCAGCCACACACCAAGAGGAGCTCAGTCTTCCATTAGAGAAAAGGACTAAAGCATTTCCTAGCCCTTCAGCTATCTCAGGTGAGACTTACTAATGTTAATATTATTCATATTAATAGCTTTTCACGAAAGCAGGGAAGTTTTCCCCAAGCCTGGTGCACCAAAGCAAAGGGAGATGCCTTCAAGTGAAGTCCTGGTGGAGCAAAGGGATCCAAGCGAAAGCTGATGTTCTCATTAGAGAGGGGATGCTACGGGTGGTCTCAGAGAAAGCCAGGACAGATACGTAGGACTGTCTGAAAAAAATAAGGATGCAAAATGCTAAATAAATAATTTTAAAAAGCACAGCTGGATGGATTCCTTGAAAAAATCTAAACATGTTGTTAAGCTCCAGTGCTTGCAGGAGGGTCTGTGGGTAACCAGCATGTTCATCACCCCAAAGGTCTTCAGGACAGGACTCAAATCACTAAAGCTGGCAGGAGCGTTGGCAGAGGGATTTTCAGAAGGTGATACGTATAGAACCTATCGATGGCAATTAAACAGAGCAGGCCAACTGCCAAGCTCTTATGTTTGTTCATTGTCAGTAGGTTCTACAGGTACAGAGATAGGTATCTACAGAGCTATTCATGTGTATTTGATTTTTCCAATACCCACATACTGTAGCTTGTATGAGGGTAATGTGTTTATCCTATAAAGTTAGTGACTTCGTAATGCAGTGCTCGGCTCTAGGACGGGTTTTTTTATTATTAACTTCCTTCCAGTGCATACAGAAAAATAAAACCTCTCCCCATCAAAAACCCCAGGAAGAAGTTTTGTTGGGGGTTGAGTACAGTTTGTCATACTGCCTGAGGCCCAGGGGTGGACAGCTGGAAAAATCTGGGATCTCAAACTTGATGGAGAAGATGTGAGCTGAGGCATGGGAAATACAGGGCTGGTGGGTGAGGAGCTCGCTCTGTCATGGTGCAAGACAAAGGGACAAGGAAAAAAAACAAGTGATACCTTTTGTAACATCCACATTTGTTCTCCCGGAGTAGATGTTAGGCCAGACTTGCAGTGAGAGGGGGTGATGCTCCATCCCTCATGCCCCTCGCTATCCAAAAGGTCTGAACAAGCACAAGAAGTGCCTTAAGACTGTTGAGCTGATTTTCTTGCCTTCTGATGCCACCCCATTAAAACTAACGGTTCATGATCTGCACCAGACCAGCTTGCCTCAAGATAAAGATCTGCCTCATTTGCAGTTACATAATTAGCAATTACCCTAATTTCACTTACATTAAATTACATTTAAAAAAAAAATAAACGTTATCTTTTCTGATGAAAAAAATAAAGCGGCCTGGGTCTACTTCAGACTATTTTATAGAAAGCAGCATCATCATTATCCTGTTCTCAGATATAATGTCTAGACACTTCTAATGAAAATATTCATTATTGCTAATTTGCATCTCTTTCAATGCTAGGACGGAAATCAAACGAAGATGTCAAAACAGCGCTACCTCTGCCTTAGGCAAAAAGGAGACACGGTGACCCCCAAGTCCTTCCAAACGTGAGCTTAGCTTGTGTGAAGAGAAAGCATCTCCGGCATCATCATAATTAAAGGCAGCGCTAGATGAAAGATGAGCAAGAAAAATCAGAGGAAAATAATGGTGTAAGAATGTGGATCTGAAATCCGCAGCTTTAAAGAGAGGGAAAACCAGGGAGCTCGGCAGCAAGCCACTGAAACAGCACAGAAAGCCTGCTTGGGTGGGTTTAGTTTTGTGAGGACACAGCCCGACTGAGTTATGAAGGGAGGTTATATAGGAGAGTAAGGGAATTCACTTCTGACCCACCCTGCAGTTCAGCAGGAGCAGGGGCTCCTACATCCCATAGGCTTACTGGAAAAAACCCAGCCTTAAACTGCACTATGTGTTGAAATACAGATATTAATCAGGATGGTAATAACTCATGTGGGTTTAGTAGAGACTTTTCCTGAAGATAAAGTACATTTTAAATGTACTACTTACTTGCTAGTAACAAAACTTCCCATTAGTACAAGGAAATATATATTATACCTCAGAAATAAATGCTTCACTGAGCTTGGAGAGTAAAGATAAAATAATCTTTTTATAGCAAATAGGGATGACTACTTAAAAATAATAAAAAGTTGGTGAATATTCATTTGAACTCCTAAGCAAATTTGCCCTTGTCATATTTGCATCTCTCTTGTGTTCTCTTTCTGTGCAATGGAGTTTTATTAGCATGAACATTCACAGAAAGTGAATTTGAAGCCTGAATACCCATGGGAAATGAATTTTAAATTCACTTGCTGTGCGCAGTCACCCAAGAAACTTGATCATAATTGTTTATTATACTTAAATATTTATATTGTAGGAGCACTTGTGAGGTAAAAAGGCTGGGATGCTCCTGTGCTGGGTGCTGTACAAGCACTGTCCCAGGCTCACAGAAATCACCTCCATCCCCACCACACAAATGGTGACGTGTGACAAGTTCAACCAGGCTCAGTCACGTAAGAGAGGCGAGATGGCAGGTAGCAAATTTCAAGGTCAAGAACAAGCATCGGGGTGGAGGGTTGAAAGATCCAAATGTTTCTGCAATTTTTCCAAGAAAATGGAGAAAGTTGCAGTGTATCCATCAGAAGTCATGACCTCGCACAGGGCGTGTTCGTACGGGATATATGAAATAGAGTCAGGGATTTAAAGTTCATCAGAAACATCCCTGTCAGAGCTTTTTCACTGCCTGAAGTCCTGTGGCACGGACTCCAGCTTTCACTCGGGAGCTCAGGTTTCAACGCTCGCAGTGCCTTTAGGGTTTACAATGGATTCTTACAGTTTCCACCACCCTCCCCTGCTCCCCGCTGGCATCTATAAATGCTCCCGAAAGCAGCACCCACTGCTGCCCACAATGGCGCTGACTCCCCGGCAGATTCCTGGCGGGACAGCGGAGCTGGAATCACATCCCTGCTCACCAGACCGGTCAATACCTCCCCATCCCTCAAAGGCAGCACTGTGCTCCAAAGACACCTCCAGGTTTCTGGGTTTTTTGGGAGAGGTGGGTGGCATTTTCTGCAGTAGGGGCCCCCGGTTTTGCTGCGTCATGTAGCACCCTACAAATCATCTGCACCCCGCAGGCCTCACAGCAAGACGCAGGCTGCCCCTGCTTGAGCTAGCACTGACTGTGCATGGGACTTTGGAGAGGATTTTGCTGTATGATGCCAGATAAACTGTTTCTCAGGGGGTGGAAGGAGGCAGAGGATGGTTTCCAGCCTGTTGTCCCAGCCTTTGGGCACAGCAGGGCTGCAGCATCTCCCAGCTACCTTCCACCCGAGCGAGCGAGCACAGTGGGCAGGAACTGGCTGCTCGGTCCCTTGGCCACGACGGGAACAGCTGACAGCTGCCACATCCCAATGCTCCGGCCATGATCCAGCATCCAGGAGCAGCTCCTTGGAGAGCCTGCAAACAGCATTCCTGCATTCCTAGTCTTGGGGGAAGGGGAGGAGGCACGTTGAGAGCACACTTTCAGACCAATCTTAGCTAAATTATTTTTCTCTATTGCTTGCCTCAGTCTAGAATGCAATGAGGGAGCAAATTTTTTATGATTATGGAGGAATAACTGCAAGGTCGAATCCCTGCTGGAAGTGGGGATTGCACCCATGGACTGGAGCACAAGCAAATTACTAACTATTAAGGGCTGATGAACAAAAAAAGCCCTGAAATTGAAGCTCAAGTCACAGTAATAAGGATGCACAAGAGAGGAAATTGCATTAGGACATGCACTATCTTCTAGATTCACTGCTGGGAGGAGGGGATTCAGAGCTGCCCCCCGGGAGCAGTGTCAGGTCTCCATCAGCTTCCCTGGCCCTCACATAGGACTGTGTCTTTTAATTATCACCCACCGCAGTCAGATTAGGGTTGCCTATGTCAATTTGTATTTGCAACACACCACGGTGCAACAGTTCCTTGCTCCTCTATAGAAATAGCAGGTGTTATTGGCAACGTAATTACATGCCATCAATAATTATCAAAAATTTAAATTGCCCCAAAGATGCTTGCAAGCAAATCGGATATGTTATTTCAGAGTGTTTCTTTCAAACAGAGGCCACCGAGGTGATGCTTGTATTGGAGTGGAAAGCTGCGATTAGGCGAACATGAGAAGCAAAAGAGGAACCTGATGAGGCAAACCAAGAGAAACCAGCACTGGGGACTCTGTCACTGAAACCGCCGCCTGAAGGTTCAGTGGCCTGGGGCCAGGGGCACCCGCTCAAACGAAATTGTTTCCAAGTAAGCTCGAGCTGCTTTTGAATGGCATTTGAGATCCAGAGGCTTGGAAAGGGGAAGAGCAGGAAATCGGCACTGCAGAGGGGGAAGAGCTCATGCAAGGAGGGATAACGGGGCTCCATCGAGCGATGGAGCATCCTCACAGCAGGAGCAAAAGCAGGGATCCCCTCTGCTGAGAGAGCTCCGAGGCTGGGGAGGGTGGGCACAGGCAGCACTGCAATACCCACGTACCTCCATTTATATCTTCTTTTATCAAGCAAACAAGTAAGACAAGCTAAATGCTACAATTAGGGTGTCTCTGCTGCCCAAGGCAAACAGCGTGGCTCAGCCCTCTGCTTCCCACCACGTCATGGCAGTGAGATGGAAGGTAACAGGGAAAGGAGATGAAGGTCATAAACTCAGTACATGGCACAACTCCACGGTAGCTACTATAAGAAAATTCAAGTGCTAAATGGGCTAAAAACCACCTTATCTGGACAATATTCTGTTGGTTGCAGAGGAGGTTAAAGTTGTCTCTTATGGCTTGAAGTGGTTAACTGTACAGCTTCTTTAAAACCAGAGAATTAATGACACTGAACTTCACAACAACAACAAAAAATTAAAGGCACCCCAAAGAATGTTCTCTTAATTGTAGCAGCCTGCTACATTAAAGCTGCTATAGGAAAATTCATTTACAATTCAGCTATTAAATTGCAAACCATTACCACTGCTTTTATGGCTTTATATTCCTCTAACAAATTTATTATGTAATTACACTGTGCAACAGCATCGTTTCTAGCAAGCAAAGTTGAAATAAGGCACCTATTTCAAAATCCTAACAATTCTGCGTTTTCCAGATGTAATTTATACAAAAAAAGGAAAAACATTACAGTGCAGTTTTCTGCCTGGGACACTGAGATACCTCAGTATGGAGCCAAAGTGTTGACTGTTACCTGGCTTTAGTTATGATTAGTAAATACCCAGATTTTGGGTGTTGGAGAGCTGGGGATCAGACCCCAACCAGGAGCAGCGTCAAGGGCTGTTTCCTGCGTCGTTCTGTGCCGGAATGGGCAAACCTGGGCAATAAAGGCATGGTAGAAGCACTCAGCCCCGACAACTGCCATTTATTGCCGTAGGAAATGCAATTGCTTTGCTGGCCTCGGGACTAGCTCCAATGGCTCTCTGCAGTGGCACAGCTGGGGCTTGGGGAGCTGGCGTTTTCCCACCTGCCAGGGTAGGACCCCCAGCCAAATCACTGATTACGAAATAAAACATAATAAAATAAAATTTTATAAAATTGGAAAGGGTTTTTCTGCCTCTTGTTTTCCACCTCTGCCAGATAAATCTGTAAATAAATAAATAAACTCTTGGGCATCATAAAAAAACTGCATAAAGGGGCATTAAGCAAGACACACATTTCCCGGGCAGAATGACTGGATTATTGTTGGAAGATGCAAATAAATTCACATCATGTGCCTTTTTTTTTTTTTCCTTTTTCTTTTTGTACCACCCTCATCAAAAGGAGGAGATAGTGTCGGTATCCAGCTCAGGAATCTTGAGCAGATTAAAAAGCCAATTATGCTGGATCTGGGGAAGCTGCCTACTGTCCAGCCTGAATCTGTTGTGCTTTATAAAAAATCCAGATTAAACACTGGGTAGCTCACAGCCCCTACAACCTCTCTCCCCCGGCAAGGCCACCATGTCACGCCGGTCACCAGCACCTGCGTGGCCACGCCACGACCACGAAGCCATCCTCTTGGAAGCAATTGCCTTATCTCATGGGGTTTTTTTTCTATCCCGGTCTACCAGCAGATGTTTCTCACCCCCTTCTTATTACCCGCAATCGTACCTCAAAGCTTACTGTAGGCACGTGCCCTTAGGGATGCACTGACATAGGCGCTTCGGTGCTTTGCTGAGCTGGCCCTTGGGGGATTTCATACAGACTCAAAAGAAAAGGGCGGGAAATGAACAAGACCCCAGTTTTTTCTAATGATAATTATCCATGATAATATTCTAATTATTATCTTTGCAGTTTTGGTTTATTTGTCCGTTTTGAAAGGGAGGCTCTTTGAGGGGTCCCAAGGGCTGGTAAATGCAAAGAGAAGGCAAAGCAGGGGCTCTTGGCCAACTGAGCAAAATTCCCAACCCATCCCACCCTGCTGCTGCTGCAAGTTGGAGGGGAGATCAGTGGGGTGCCCCCACTGAGGGGTCCTGGTGACTCCCCGCAGCCCCATGAATCCTAATGGCACAGTGAACCCGTTTAGTTATGCAGGAGGCATCTCCCTTGGCTCGCACATCGTGAATCGCTCCTTAGAAGGGCTGAATGGCACCAACCTCCCCCCCGCGCTCTCAATTCACACTGTCAGAGCTGCTCGGCTTCTGCTGCCAGTGCTAACAAGGTCTGACTTTGTAGGATTATTTAATATTTATTCAAAATGTTTGCTGTGGTTATAATCACATAATCACTGAGGCCAAACCCGGCGTGGTTACAGGAGCACAACACTCCCCTCTCCCCAATAATAATGAAATCCCTGCAAAGAGTTGGGGGGAATGAGCTGACAAGCCCGAGTAATTTATTCTGCTGAGCCCCGTGCCTGCCAACACGGCTCAGTCTGGCGTGGGATAGACTTGCTGGGAGCAACCAGGCTGGGATTTGCAAAGAGGAGGAGGAGTCTAAGTGAATTGGATACCCAAATCTCACCGGTTTCAGCAGGAACTGGCTATTCAGACAGCCCAGGATTATTTTCCTTCTCAGGTTTGTCTGTTGGTTCAAGTGCCACTGACTAGTGCGGGTGATCAATAGATTTCTATCAGATGTGTGGGGAGGAGGGGTTAAGTTAAAAAGGGGTTTTCAAGTGAGCGATAAAACAATCAAGGAGAAAGATACAGGGGGAGAAAAATAACACTTAAATCTCCCACAAAAAAAGAAATGGCATTTTTGCATACCACAAAAAAAAACCCAACCCTTAATGCATACTTTTCTCAGTGTCATCCCAAATTTTCCCTAACTTCTGTTAATTTTCTGAACCCCCGGTACCTGTGACACTGAACTTGGTCAACACATTTCTCTAAGCTTCAGCATTCACCTGTGCAGTTGGGTCAATGAGACTTGTGGTACCTGGGCAGGTAAAGGTTGGCCCATCTCCATTTTCAGAACAATTTCCAATTGCCACAGAGATGGGAGCAGCCAGACTTCAAAGACAGTCTGCCACCTAGGTTTCTGCTCTTCGCTTTTTCTTCTCTGTTCCTTTAAAATAGATCTTTGCTATAACTAGGAGCAAAATTTCTATGGAAAGGAGCCATTAAAAAAAATTAAATTGGATTTTACCTTTTTTTTTTTTTTGATTGACAAACCAATGTGCCTGGTGGCTCACTCAAATATATGTCACTATTTTCTGAAGTAGGGCAGGTGGACTTCTCAAAGGAAAAGCCCCCCAAAAACGCATTTTGCCAGCAGCTGTCAGTCACTGGAGAGATAAGACCTTTCCATACAGGCGTCCACCAGAGTGGATGCTAAAACAATTAATAATGATTTCTCCCACTCGCCCAAGCCAGCCAAATGCGGAAGGATAGCAACAACACAACAGGGATTTGGTGCATAAAGTGCATTAACAGTGAGAACTTGCATCTCGGTGTGCTATGGGCACCCAAACCTTCACCACATCGATACCAAAGAGAGGCAACGTCCCAGTTGAGTGCATCCCCCCCAGCGGGGCTGGCCAGTTCGCAAGGCTCGGGGGGTGAGAGCGGGCAGTGCTTCAGTCGTTACTAGGGTGCTGAGCCCAGCACCCCTGTTTGAAGGCACCTAGTCCCCACATGTGCTGCAGGAAGCCACACGTGCCACAGAGCTGGCAGTTGCTATGGTGACTGTGGATTTTCTTAAAACTCCTGTAAAAAGGAGTCTGAAGGCCCAAGAAAGCACAGGAGCAGCAGCTCCTTTGCAGGGAGGTTTTAGGGCTGTGTACGGATGCTGCCTGACACCCTGAGCTGTGACAACACCTCCGGCTGAGCAAGCTGTGCCCTTCAAACAGACCCACGTTTGCCCCGTGGTGGTTATTTCTGTACCCTGGCCAACATCACTGATGAGGTCTTTGCTGGCTCGTCTCTGCAAGATGCCAGTCTTCGTTCAGCAATTAGATTTATTTCGCCAGTCTCCAAGGGTTATCTGAAGATGCAGCTCCTCTGTCAACAGAGAAACTGGTTTTTAATTGCAGGCCTTCTGGTGGGAGATGAACCTTCTTCCTTTAGAACCGTTGGTTCCCCCGGCCTCCCGCCTGTTTTCATCCCTTTGCACCATCTCAGCCCTCTGAAAAGCTGCTGGGAGCAGCCAGAGGAACCGAGGCAGACTAACCGGGGCTTTTGGACCTAATAATCCACATTCCTCAAACATCCCATCACTGCAGCTTTTATAGAATAAGCCCTATTTCTATTTCAACTTAAATATTGATTTTTTTTAAAAAAATATTTTTTTTCTTAAATAGGATGGCTCAAGTTTAACTTCTTGGAAGAATATTTGAGGCTTATTTTAGCCTCTTTATTAATGTAGATGCAGGCCAAAACCTCACAATATGAGGTCCCTGGTTAGAACCTAGGTTTGGATCAAGCCTCCACAGAGGGTCTGTGGGATCAGCAGCTTTCCCTGGGCTGAGCTTCTACTAATGAAAGAAGGTTGGTGCTGCAACCACCTAGAACATCTTATGCCTTTGGTTTTTCCCTGGAAAGATCAAAGCATCTGAGATGTCCTGGCAAGGCCAGGAGGCTCTGGAGGCACCAGCACATTTGGAGATGGCACCTCCTGGCAGTGCCGGAGTGGGCATTAGGCTGTTGGCTGCCTCCCTCCTGTGGCTGGGTCAGGCCACAGGCAGAGGTGGGTCCTTAAGTCCAGTGGTATAAAAACTCCCCTCAAACATCTACTTTTAGATCCACCCTGCTTCTCTTGCAGGAGAACTTGGCTTGAACTGTGCCACCCACTTCTGACATGGTACATTAAGAAAGCTGTAAGGAAATTGGGACAACCCAGAGCAGAGCATCAGGAATGACGAGAGGTCTGAAAGAATGAAAATGTGCTATAGGAAAAATACAAAATACCCCCAGAATTATCCTGCCTCTAGGCTTCTTGCGT